TCTCAGTGTGTAAAGCAGAAGTTCTGGTTTCCCGTGCATCTTTGTACAGCAAATGAAAAAAATGCAAACCTCAAAGAGCTGTTGGAAATGGCAGCAGCAGTCAAAGAGCATGAGGGTAATCTTGCTCCCTGATTTCTTTGGTAGCTCATGACTCTGAAGAGGTTCTCTGTTTTCTTAAAAACTTCTAAGCTGGCAAATGGTTTGTGACTCATCAAAAAGGCTTACAGATGACTGATACGTAATTACTTGTGCAGTGGTGTGTGTCTTGTTGAACTCTGAAACACAGGGAAGTTTCTATTAAGAAATATTTGAGACATTCTAATGACTTGTAATGCCTTTTATTTGCAGGTAGTTCTTTAGTTTAAAAATGGAATTTGCAGAATGGAAGTCTTTTTTGAGAGAAGCAGTTGAATAAGTTGTTGGGGAAATGCTTTATTACATGACAAGTATGTTAGGTGTGTACAAAAAAAAGGTGCAAGCCTCATAATCTCTGGATTTTAACAGCACGTTTGGATTTATGAAATCGTTTTATTCTGAAATGTTCAGCTTTATGCTTTTGTATTAGATTTAAACTCTGGAAACTATTAATTTGGAACTATTTGAAACATTGGCCTGGCGATGGGCAGTATTATTTGAATTATTTGGAGCACCCCAGTGTCTGCTCCAGCGAGTATTGCATTCCTGTTAGTTCATGTGAGCAGGCGCAGGGTCTCAAGGCACCTGCCCCAACACACCGCGTAATTCAAGAATATGTCAGGTTGACGATGGTGCAGAGGCTCCTAACTCCTGTCTCAGCTGCCAAAACTTTGCAGAGCAGAGCATTTGGGCTTGTGCAGTGGTTTTTTTGCTGCTTTTCTTTTTTTTCACTGTCGGGCTGCAGTGCTGGCAGGAGGCATGAGAAGGAACTAGAGCTGCCTCACATGTGAGGAGAAATGTTAGTTGTAACATAGCTGTTACCTAGAAGGGTGGAATGATTCAAGGAAGCAGCACTCCAGTTTTCATCTGCCATGTTTTGTTTACTTCTGCAGCAATTTCAGAAGTAAAACCTAGAGTTTCTGCTGACATTTTTCATTTTTTTTTCCTGGGCAGTCCCCACTTACTAAAAACATGAATCACCTGTGTGCATGATGTGGTTTGATGGTTTGAATTATCATTTGGCTTAGGTAGTATATGCTGTCCGCTTTTCTATGCGGCATTGGCTAATTGGCTAACGAGTAGCTACTTGTTCTTTCTGCTGGTGGGTGGATTCAGGCCATGTTGTAAATCTAAGGATGGAAAATCACTCTATTTCAGTTGTAGAAGACTTTTAATATTTGCCTTGGTGATACCAATTTCTTGAGGCTTCCATGCTTGGTAAATGGGGATGCATGTGGCTGGTGACCCATCACCAGTGGTGTTCCTCAGGGTTCAATTCTGGAGCCAGTGCTGTTTAATGTATTTACCAATGATCTGGATGCAGGAGTTGAATGCACCATTAGCAAGTTTGCTGCTGATACCAAACTGGGAGGTGCTGCTGTCTCTCTTGAGGGATGAGATGCCTTTCCGAGGGATCTGGATAGTTTGGAGCATTGGGCTATGATTAATGGGATGAAATTTAACAAGTCGAAATGCCAGATTTGGCACCTGGGACAGAGCAATGCCAGGCACAGGTATAAATCGGGAGAGGAGGGCTGGAGAACAGCCCTGCAGAAAGGGACCTGGTGGTGCTGGTTGGCAGCAGGCTCAATGTGAGCCAGGAGCATGCCCTGGCAGCCAAGAGGGCAAACCATGGTCTGGGGTACATCAAATACAGCGTAACCAGCCGGTCAAAAGAGGCGACGATCCCGCTGTATTCAGTGTTGGTGTGGCCTCATCTTGAATGCTGTGTGCAGTTCTGCACCCTGCTATTTAAGAAGGGTGTGGAAGTCCTTGAATACCTCCAGAGGAGGGCAACAAAGCTGGTGATAGGGCTGGAAGGCAAGTCCTGTGAGGAGCAGCTAAGGACTTTGGGCTTGTTCAGTTTGGAGAAAAGGAGGCTGAGGCACTCTCTACAGCTTCCTGAGGAGGGGAAGTGGAGAGGGAGGTGCTGAGCTCTTCTCCCTGGGATCCAGTGCCAGGACACGTGGGAATGGTTCAAAGCTGTGCCAGGGGAGGTTCAGGCTGGACATTAGGAAACATTTCTTTACCAGGAGGGTGGGCAAACATTTGGACAATGCCCTCAATACCATGCTTTAACTTGGTGAGCCCTGAATTGGTCAGGCAGTTGGGCTAGATGGTGGTTGTAGGTGCCTTCCAACTGAAATATCCTAGTCTATTATATACTAATTTAATGTATTTTCTGATTTTTTTTTTCTGTCATTGGTGTGAATCAGGGTACTGTGGAATGGCTTAGGGAGCTGTTTAAGAAGATGATGTTTCGTTTTTTTTCTGCCATGTGAATAATTTTTCTGGAAGGCCAAGTCATTGGTTTGAGAGTCATTTGTGGTCTGTGACTGTTTCTCAGATTTTGATCAGTAATAATGTGTTAGCTCTGGTTGATTACACATGTAGATGTGCTTTCACTTGATCTGAAAAATTGAAAACACCTTTCCTTGGGTTTTTTTTTTTGTTTTTTTTTGAAGGTGTATCTGACCACTTTTCTGTCTGGTTTTGGCTTAATCTTTGATGCTTTTCTCTGTTGTTTCTGTTACTGACTCGTCTGACTTACAGGCCAGCTGTATATGTTCCTGTGTCAGGGGGATTAATCATTGGCTAGAGAATCAGGAATTTTTTATTGTTACTGTCAGACCATCTGTGTTGATGATCTTTTACCCATTTTTCTACAAGCTATCAATTTTGTAAGACAGCTGCTGAAACAAGTTTTATTTCTTACTGAGAAGTTGTTGGATTGCTTGCATTTATCCTGTGGTCAGCTAATTAAGTCTGAAATGATAGCTATTTAAATGTGTGGTTTTCTTCTTTCCTGTTCACCATTTTAGCACCTGGTCTATTGAATATATCTTTGTATGACAGAGCTCTCTGAAAAATGAGGTTTTTACTTTGTCCGAGTTGCAAAGCCCTATCTTTCTTGAGGTTTTAAGTTTCTTTCATGTATGTACCTTTCTCCTCCAAAGCTTTAATTTTGAGAGAGAAACAGGCCAGCATGGGGCTGTCATAGCCATCTCAATTTTTGCCTATCCTTTCTTAAGCTTGCAACCACAACATTGGTATCAGCATTGTGGTTTACCCTTATTGGTTTACTTTGCTTTTGCTGTAACTCTCCTAGCTGAAAAAGCAAAAAGAAATGGAGCTCTGAAGCTCCATGCTCTGTACGGCCAGGCATCTTTCCATTTTCAAAAGAAGCAAGCTTGGAAAACATTACAATGTAAGGAAGTTAGTGTAGTAAAACTCAGTGTGTGATTGTATGAACAGAGTGGGGTGGTATTTATTTGGAAAAAAAAAAAGGCTTGATTTTCAGGCATGAACACAATCTGATGCTTAGACACATTGGCACGCGCTCCCTGCTCCATACTGGGAACCATCAACATGAGTATGTGCAGATGAGGTGGCCAGGATCACCTGTGTGCAACGCAGACAGCAAGGGACACTGACTGTCAAGTCTTCACCACGCTGCTGGGGTTCTTCAGGGAACTACAAGCTAGTTTTTGGACAAGTTCATCATACCCTTTGGGAGTCATCAGCTGATACAGGATGGGCCTTTGCCATAGAAACTTGCTGACTTCAGGCTCTGTAAACCTTGGGCCAAATTGTTTCCTGGTTTTTGCAGTTTTTTGGGGTTGTTTTCTCTTTTTTATTTTTAGTTATTTTTTTAACCTTTTTGTTACTGTATGTTTTTTAACTTGTCTGAATACATGTGTGAAATACATGCCTAAGGTCTGCTTTTCTGTTGGGCCAACAGGCAAAGGAATTGTGTTTGTGAGATGCTGCAATCTTGTTACCATCCTCCTGGTGCAAGGCCTTTTGAGGCTGTTGAGTCATCCATGCTGCGGTTGTACCAGAGTGTAGACCTTTGGGCTGTGACATAAACAGCACATTTCTCAATTTCGCTGCTGGGAATAGTGTCCTGAAAACAATGTCCAGGGGATGGCATCCTTCATAATCTGTACAGGATGTGCTTTTAACTCTTTATTCTGCGGCTCCTTCCTGTGTGTGTGTACACACACTCGCACTCTCTCACAGTCCTACTGCAGCCATGCCAATCTTAGCATTTCTGTTAAAAATCTTGACAACAGTCACCTTCAAAACCAAAAATAGAAGGTAAATCTTAAAGGAATAAAAAAAAATGAAAGAAGTGCACAGTTTTGTGGTATACTTCAGACTGAATGTTAACAGCTGCAGTTTAAAAGGAAGAATGTGCATTTGATGGGGAGAAGTTGAAAACCTAACTTTCCCACGTTTCTAGGGCTGGTTTGCTCATGAGGAGCTTTGGAAGCTTTTCTGTACTTTGCATGCAGCAAGATCCTCCTCTGTCTTCTTATTCCAAACTTCCCATCTGGTTTATTTATTCAGTAGAACTGCAAGTACTGGATACATTCTTCTCCCTGGAACTGTTTCTAGCTGGGCAGTCTTACCGCTTTCCTTAGTAAAAACATTCCTTTACTCTTGAGTAACTGTATTGCAAGCTGCAGCATTTTCAAGGCATTCCATCTAAAAATTGTCAGCATGAAAAGTATTTGCTTTGTATACAACCAGTTTGTCATAGAGACCATTGTATGGCATATTAATAATACAGATGACAGGCATGGGTTTGTTGGTTGTTTTGTTGTTGTTGTGTTTTCTTTGTTGTTTTTTTTTTGTTTTGTGTTGCGGGTTTTTTTGGTAAATAATCTCCCCTACACTTTTGTCAGTGGAGGGTCCTGATATCAGAACTCGTAGAGTCAGTTGAACTCACTGTTTATAATAATAAGATTTAATTGTAAGTGCTGAAGTCAGCTGTACAGTCTGCAAGGGGTCATGATGTTTTCTCATTTCTCATTACTCTCTCTTTCTTTGTTTCTTTCCCTCTCCCTCTGTATTTACAGGTTATCCTAATATTTGTCTGTGTATTGACCAAGGAATCTGTAGAAATTGCACCAGTGCCATATACGCTGCAAGTCCATCGGGTGGCTGTGGGTGGAAAAGACCCCTCTAACCCCTTGAGGAAAGAAAAGAGGCAGGTGCAGTGTCCATTGGGACAATACCTACATCCCAGAGAAACCCACTGCTGCATGAGGTGCCATGCAGGTATGTAATATAACTACAATAGGAACCTTCACCTTGGAGGCATTTCCCTATCCTGCACTATCAAACTGTCTCTGTCCTACAGCTCCATCAGTGTTACCTTTCCTTGGTATCTATCCCTACCCAGACAAATCCGTATTCCTTGTCTTTCTTTTGGGCTGTCAGTGTCCTTCATGCTGGTGAGAGGAAGCATACTCGGTCCTTACACCATCAACTCCAGGGTTTCTCTGAGGAATCAATGACTGCCATCCTCCCTAAGACACCACTTTGGCCTTCCCGTCAGGGCTCTGTAAAGTGATTTTTCTTGCAGGTACCTACAAGGCAAAAGACTGTGATCGACCTGACCAGGCACCTGTCTGTCTTCCGTGTGCTAAAGGCACATTCACAGCTGTTGATAACACCATGTCTAAATGCTTCCAGTGTACACATTGCCGTACAGGTGAGTTATCTACAAGTTATGAAGGAAAATGGGTGGTAGTGGCAGGTGGGGGGCTGGAGAAGATGGCAAAGTGAGCAAGGAAGCTTGGAAAAGTAAGCAGAATGGGCAGAAGGACAATGTATGAGAAGGGACTGGGGACAGGAGGAATAAAGTTTACCAAATTACCACAGTCTGAGACAGTTTGCAGGGCTTTATGGCCTTTCTCTGGGAAGACAGGGGGATAACAATACCTGTCATCATAACAGTGCACTCAGCTGAAGGTGTTGGAAGAGGTTGGAATAATCGCTTCTCCTTTTTTCCTCAGAATTCCAGCAGATAGTAGAGAGCCCTTGCACCCCAAAGCAAGATACCATATGTGGCTGTCGGAAGAATCAGTATCAGACTGACCCATCTGATCTCTTCCAATGTAGGAACTGCAGCTCCTGTCCCAATGGGATTATTGCCAACTGTGAGTATGGCATCAATATGGCTCTGGTACGGACATTCAGTACTAGGGTAGACATCAGCAGCCTTCAGTTTCCTTTTTCACGCACTGCAGCACCTTGCCCTGAAGTGATTGTAGTCTTGGACTAACTCTTTGTTTTGCCTGCCCTCTTCCTCCAGAAAGACTGCCGTTTTTTGCCTACCTTGGCATCAATCCCTGTTTTCTATCAGAGTTTCTATCTTCCTCTTGTCCTTGAATGGTTTCTGAGTTTTGGCTGTTGTGAGGAGTCATTTTCTACTTAATTTTGGTACCTCTGCCTTGCATGTACTGAAGCAAGGTCTCTGCATGATCTAAAGCAGATTTCCCTCTTGCCTTCCTTTTTGGTCTTTCTTCTGATGCTCATTCATTTCCCTCACCAACTGCTGGAAGCACTTTGAGTACAATGGCTGAAAATGCCGCTGGTCCCAGTGCCCAGCTGAACTGTTTTGTCAGTCAGCTGGTGAACCACCACAGCATGCTGTGCAGTGTTTTAAAGTAAAGAGCTGCTCAGGTAATGCTGACCTGTACTCAGTGGCATTGGGTGTGACCTGGGGATGGCGCAGGTGTCTGGGAGAAGTACCCATGTTAGCTGTCCCAAGCTGCCTCATCTCCGGTCAGGAATCAGAGATCTTAACCAAATGCTGCTTGCCGCCCTCCACTTTTGCTGTGGTCTAATTCTGTTCATGTCCCTTAAATGCTCCTTACCTTGTTGTCCTAAAGCTTATCCCCTCTTTGCAAATTCTGCTGCTTCTGATCCCTTCCCCATCTCATACCCTGCCAAGCATGAGGTTTGCTGTCTCTCTGGGGGATTCGTTCCCTCTGGTGCTTAGTAACCTTTCTCTGTCACAGTTTTCACGCTTATACCTATCCTCAAGGGTCATCATCGTGTGCTGCCCTTGAGCAATTTCCTTCCCTCTTGGCTGATGCAGAACTGTTTTAGTCCTGTCTCTCACTTGCCACAGAATACATGGTGCTTATTCTAGTACCTTTTTCCCTCCCCTCATGCAACTTCATGTCCTTCCATCACTATTGTTGTCTGCTTCTCCTCACACCTGTTTTACTCAGTTTCTATACTGTGACTTGCTTAGAAGCAATAGCTCTTTCATTTCTTACATGAAATGTGGGTATGTGTCCCATGGCTTGAAATGATTTCTCCCTGCCCTGAACTGACTTCCTCACCAGTCCCAGCTGCTCAGGGACCACTTCTCCCTCATCTTTGCCTGACTAATGTGATTTCCCCTTCCTGTCATGCTTGAACTTGAGTGACTTTCTCCACTTTTACGCCAAAACTCTCATTATTCGTTAGGCCACTTTCAGCTGCACTGTAATTTTACTCCTTTTCCCATCTACCGACACAGCAGTACTCTTATTTTTTATTATTTTTATCCTCCCCCAACACTGTCCTCAAACACAGACCAAATCCTCTTTTTCCTCTTCAGTAGCAGTTCTCCAGGCTCCAAGAGGGATAATTTCTTACCCCTCTCAGATTGTTTTTTCTCCTTTTGTTTTCTTCTCTGTCCAGATTACGGCAATGCTTTCTTCTTTTCTCTACAGGTTCAAAGAACAGCAACACAATTTGCAGGTGTAAGCCTGGATTCTTCCTGACACTTAGTAACGTTTGCAAGCCTTGCAACAGGTGAGCTTTTTCTTTCTTTGTATGCTGCTCTACTGAGTAGGAGAGATGCAAGCCCCACAGAGGGAGGAAATTTTTCTCAGGACTCTGTCCATCTTGACATAACTTTACAACATTCTGCCTTTTTGGGGCAATTGGGTATTCCCCTCTGTCACCCTCCATCTTCTCCGTCTAGGTATCAGCCCACTAAGAACCCAGAGTCAGTAGCCACATTGCATTGCTCTGCTTTGCAGGCTCATCGTGACTTGTCTGTTAGGACTGTTGCAAGTGGCTGGTGTTTCAAGTCATGCATGCTCACCTCTCTGATTTGCTCTTCCAGGTGCACTGGAGAAGAATGCTTGCAGTGTCCTAGCCCAGTGACTACCTCACCCGCTTCGTCTGGGCTGAGTGAGTACTGGGAGAACTGAGGGACAGTGGAATCTTTTTGGTGTGGGCTTTTGTTCTGTTAATGCCTTTTGTCAAGGGTTATGTTCTCCACTCTCTCAAACTGTTATTATTTTTCCCCCTGCCATTTGTGCGTCTTCACTTGCTCTTCTTCCTCTAGCACTTACCTCTTCCTTTCTCAGTCACTCATTTGCCCTCTTCCCTTTGTCCAGATGGGAGCCTTGTCCTTGGCATCATCGTTGCAATATTTGGAGTTATCTCTGTCCTCTACATTGTAAATAAAGTAGTGAAGCTGGTCCAGAAAAATGGGATAGCATCATCTTTCTACTCCTGTGGTGAGTGCAGCAGCATATGCAGTGATATTAATTGGGATAGACACCATTCTCTGTCTGTGTGTGTGTGTGTATGTGCATGTGTGTGTCGGGGGGGAAATGGGATCCCGTTACTCTGCTTTTCTGCAAGGCTAGAGGAATGCAAGAATTTGACAGCTAAGCTTATTGGTGCAGTTGTTGCAACTCTGCATCCTTGTTTGTAGCTCTGACTGGAAGTGCACATAAGCTCATTGCTGGGAGAAGCACATTTTACTCTAAAACCTTATTGAGGGCTGGATTGTGAATAGCTGCTTTCCTGTTTTCTCTGGGAAGAGGGGAAGTGAAAATAATTTCTGCTTTCTTTTTCTTTTCTTTTCTTTAAAGTTTCTTTGCCGCAGACAACCAAGGACCCAGTACCTGAGGTAAGAAAGATAATGGGTATAAGAGCTTTCCTGCCACTTTCAACTATGTTAGCCTGGGATCCAGACTAACATTTTTCCCCATGGGCTGTCTTCAGGCCTTGTATTTTCAAATGAGCTGAGTAATAGGGCTGTTTAATTCAGAAGTCTTTTGCTGTAGAGGGTGAAGCCATTAACATTTTACTTCCCCTCTAGAGGATGCTTTTCAAACTCCTGGGTTTTTCCTCTTGTCTTTTTGGATGCTTTTTTTCAGATAGCACTTTTTAAAACACCTCCCTTTTCCTCCCTATATAGCACAAGTTTGGAGAATTTAATTAATTTTACTTCTCTTGACATCTTGATCCCACAAGCCTCTCAGTGCTGCTTCACAGTGTTCTCTCAGGTTCACGGTAGTTCTGCAATTAAGAGGGCCCAAGAAATAGTTGAGGTGGGGCTTCCACATCCTTACAAAGAAGGCTGATGGGAAAGGTGGCATGTGGAGCTTCTAGAATGGTGCTGATTTCAGGTCCAAGCCTTACTTGATTTTGCAAAGATATACTTTTTCCAGACTATCTTTTTTTGATGCCAAAAGAGAGTTAAACTCCTTGCGTTTTGCTGGAATTAAATGTTTGGTGCCTTCTGCTCAAACAAGGAATATGGGAAGAATTAAAACCCCAGCATCTGTTGCCTACCTATCTTGGATAGATTTCAGTGTATAAACATAGTGGTTCCTTCAGGAGTCAGGTGTATTGTGCTGCTGTGGGTGATTCTGGACTAAAAAAAACGTGTATTTCAGGTTGAGGTAAAAAGAAATGAAATTTCCATCCTTCTTCCTGAGTCCCAGAAGGAAACAGAATTGTCACTGAATGCAGCACCACCACCTGCGCCTCTGCCTCAAAGTTCCCATGAGCTGCCAGACTGTGTCACACCCGCCAGGAAGACACAGCTTCCAGACAGTACGTGAAACTCCCCCGTCCTTCCCTCTTTCC